TGTAAGGGTGAATTGGGAATTAAAAGGTTTTATGGAGAAACAATATTACTTTCTGCGAGCGAGGCCGAGAGGAAAAGCTAGTTAATAATAAATACATTTTTGTACAAGTATATGAACGTACAGAATAAAATATATATAACTAAATTGTAATACTCATTTCATCCCATTTGTCCCGCTTTGTCTCAATGAAAATGTGGTCACTTTACACTACTGTGTACCTTAAAAGGTTTGTATGAAAATGAATTAATGGTATACGTACGTATAAACGATTAAATTGTAAATTGTTCTCTCTAAAATTTAGTAAAAGCGTCGCAAACAATTGTGGTGGACAATTAGAAACGAAGTAATAATCCGATTATTCCAAAAGTCACTATGGAGATCATTGAATATTAAAGCCCAACAAATATAGAATACATATAAACAAGCATCAAATATATTCCAATTAATTTGACTTGCTATATAAATACTATTCAATAATAGCATACCTAAATACCCAAAATGTTTCAAGAATTGTTACCTCAAGTAAATGTATATTTTTCATTAATAGACGGTAAAATAATATATATCGCTGAAGTATTTATTGTTGATTTCGACAAGTTACACCCACATTCATTAATTATTTCAATGTAATCAGTAATCATACGAAAACATTTGTTTTAAATAAGTACCTAGTCCTTAATTTCAATCAAGCATGGGCGTACCTCCTTGAATACATTACACTCCTAAACTTATAATTAAGAAATACTATTTTTTTAGTTTTAATTCATTGAAGTAAGAAACATTCAGGGATTTTTTATGTCATTACTTCTCTCTGAAGATCATAATATAATAACACATACGAATAATGTAAAGTCTAAACCATTCATGTTCTTTGTAATGTACCCAAACTTTTGAAAATCGAAGATTGTCGCCTTACCTTTGCATTGGTGCATGTATGACTATGTATATAAAATAAATAAATAATAAAATAAAATTAATACGTATACACAGAGATAAACTACTAGAAATAATTAATAGAGAATCAATCAACTTTTCAAATATTGCATAATTTGCTTAATTGTGCTTTATTATGAATTAATATGTATAAAAGATACGTTTTATACTTACAAAGACACAAGGAAATCAAAAGGAGTTCTGAACACCCGATAAATACAACCAAATTCACATAAAAACGTTTAAATCATGTACTTATTAAACCGCGCGGCGACGCGTTCCACACAACCGACGCTAACATGTACTACGTAATACTACTCAATGTGCGTAAGTAAGCTATCATAAAGCTCAAGCAGCGTGAACCATAGATAATAGATATACAAAGGGTAAACGTAAACGTGAACTATTGACTATCGTATATCCGAACCGCGAGGTGTTCGAAGCTTCGTAAATGCTCGGTATTATCGATGAATGTCCTTTTCGTCCTTCAGACCTGCTTGTTACACTTATGATTCATCAGAAAGATGTAAAAATAACTGACTACAAAAACGTATATCTACAACAGAGTAATATCGAAGAAAAGAACTGTAATAAGAAACTGAATGTTGTTAGGTATTATCAAAAATAAATTAGATAAACTGGTCCTTGCAGATGGTATAGCAGTATTAAAATCTAGCAAGGAGGAATCGGAGATAGTTTTAAATAAAATGGAAGCGGTATTGACAAAACAGTATTGCAAAACAAAAATATTACACATGATTATTTCATTCGCGATTTTCTCATAAATGGCATCAATTGTAGTATTTTAGACGATCGCAGTAGTTTTAATGTGTGGAAATGTTAAGAAAGTGCGAAAATGGTTGTGGAAGGGGGTTAAGGGTGCAACGGGTAAAAACTGCAATGAAATTTTGTAAATGACGCTAGTTGGATTGAAGAATGTCGCCTTAAAGGACATAATGAAAATGTGTCGCCGTAATGAAGGACATGTTGAAGGAAAAGTACCTCAAATGCTATATTTTCGTGGAAATTGCGAATTAACTCAGCAACCGTTGCCACTGAACGGTCTCCAAATAGTAGAAAGAAAGCAGTCGCAATGAAATGAAACAGAAAATATAATAACAATAAAAGTAATTCTAATAATACGCAAGTAAAAATTGCTAAGAAAATTGTATGCAAGTTAGGAGAAGAGTGACAATTGTACTTTAGCTGACGGACGGGTGGNGAAAAATTAAAAAGGTCTACAATATATTTTACAGGATATAAAATCTGGTGACCATCAGCGAAATATGTTACTGTAAATTAAAGAAAAACCCAATAACCCAGTATGATTTTGTCACATTTTTAATTTAACTTGTTAACTCTTCCTATAATAACATACATAGGTATCTCTTGTCATAAATATCTATCCTTGCAGATTTTGGCATTTAGTTTTAAATTATTTTTTTTTAAGATTTATGGGCCACCCTACTCTCAATTGAGTAAATGTGTCTATAAACTATAGAGAATAATAAAAGTGTATACTATTGAAAGGGTTTGACTCGAAATTTTCTATCTGAAAGATCCTCTTATTTACTAGGCATACAGTAAACTTTTCTTATAAAAGTACGTCTCATGTTTTTTCAACACCTATATAAAACAATCAAACATGAAGAATTTCCATTATATTTACCACTGTATTTTGTCTATATTATACACTGATCGTTTTAGAAATACACGATTTTTTAAACGATTATTAATTATCATGTTTGTTACAAACTTCCAATAATTAATATTAGTTTTTAAGAACTTAACGGACAACTTATATTACCTCTAAATCCTGATGTTTTGAAAATTTCCCCTCTATTTGTACATTTGGAGAAACTTTTTGTTTTTTCTTGTACTTCTTGTAGTAAAGATGTGAACCATTATTGTATAAATTATTTATTATTTAGTTTAATAAGTTTAGACTTGAACGAGCCTTAACTTTTTGGGAATTGACGAGACCGAGACGAGATTTTTGATACTCTCGCCCTATTGCAAAGTAACAGCATGAATATTGATCAATAAATTTTACAGATTCATAAATTTCAAAAGAATAATTTGCAATCAACATCGATAAATTTTCCAAAACTTCCGCAGATATTAAAATTACTTCTATCGAAATACCGAAAAATTACGAAGTCAAATTCAAAGATTGATGCCAGAATATGGTAATGAATTTCTGAAAATATGCAAACGAGTTTCAAGTATTTAATTAATTTTGATTAATTATTAATTCACCAGGTTAATTATAATCAGAAATTCATATTAGCAACACTGTTGCTCGCTTCAGTTATCAAATTAGCTAACGAATTTCACACTTGACAAGAACACGATTATTTTTTATCGCAGGGTTGATTTTTATGAAGGTAAGATTTTAAAACGTCAATTTGTATCCCCAGTGCTTTTTAGGTACATGACTGATCGAAAAACGGCTGAAAAGGTGCCAAGTTGGCTTCAAGATGCCTTGTTTATGATGGCTGTCTCAAACAGCTGCGTAAATCCCATAGTTTACGGCAGTTACGCAGTAAATTTTCGCAAGGAAATCAGGCTGTGGTTGTATTCCTTCAGGAAGCGTTCGTTGTTCCGACGGAGTAAGTATACTAATAAATAATGACACCCGATTGCCTTTCACTATAATTTAGACGAATTTAACGACAGTTATAGTGATGAACACAGCAAGACCAAGGCCATGACCAAGATTGTCCAGTATTTGTAATGTTAGGTCCCTATAATTGATGTGACTGCTTACAAGAGAAATTGAAGTAGTTCCCTTAGTATCTTATTTAAAAATGAAAACTCAGACTATAGGTGAAATTACGATTTCTTTTTGCAAACTTTGAAGAGTCTGCCAGAAATTACTGCCAATGGGAAGTGGCTGGCAGTGTTAACTATTAATTTTTAACAATATTTGTGATACATTATTAAGCGAGTAATGTTTGTACGTGGCTTTACCGAGTAAAAATTATTCTTTCAAGTTTCACTCTACTGAATTACGACAAAACTATACTTCGTTTAGTTTCCGTAGTGATGTGACTTTCAGTTTGACTGGCGCAAAGTAGAAAAGAAAAGCACTAGGCCAGAAAAGGAAGGAGACAACTCTCGGCCAAACTCTTAACCGGTGAGGACTGCACGGAAAAATTGACCATTTTATCCACTACAATTGCATTGCTCAAATGTGCTGTTATTGGTACCAATTACTACTGAAAATATCAACGAGATGTTTATTTATATTTGAAGACATACTAAAGGCTTTAACGCTTGTTTTCGACTCGCACTACTATTCATGATTGAACAAAACTTTTGGCAGGTACTGTATGAAAAAGTATGTTTAATGAATAAGAGTCGAGAGTATAATGAGCTTTTTTCTTCCTACCTACCATTTGTCGAACGCGCATCTAAGACATTGGAAGGGGCACACCGCTAGAGAAAGTAAATGAAGTATAGCTCCATAAATTTCTCTAAAATAATACCAGCAAAGGTCCGTTTGTAGGACTAAACCGCCGGTTGTATACGAATGGAGTACTGAAACAGTACCGCATTTAGTACGAAAAGAACACGGATACAGCACCGATTGCTTTCCAGAAAGCTACTGAACTACCACCTTTTTTTATTTTTTTAATTTAGTTTAACCTCGAGGAGGGGAAATCTTCTAAAGGCATCCCCCAAAATGGAGGTAGTGTCGAATTCACTCCTGATGGGAGCACCTACCAACTAAAAACCCTCCTCGAGTTGGTAGATCAACCTGGCGGTTGTGACTACCGGGAGAAGATGGGAAACGTATGAGGAAGGGGAGAGGGTTGAGTGGGAGATAGGTAAAGAGGTGAGGGAGGGAGGTTGGGGAAGATGAACTGCGAAGAAGGTGGCCCGACTCTGAAGGGAAAGATGGGCACTCGCCCTAAAAAGCGAATATACCACCGAAACAGCGACGCATTTATACTAGAGATGTGCCGACTATGACTTTCGCCGACTAGCCGATTGGTCGGTTCCAAAGAGGCTGATTAGTGGACCAATCCGATCGCGGTTTCGGAGAAATTCGGAAATTTCCATGATGCTTCGTTTACAGCTTATTTGAGCGCAAGTATTGCTTACTTCGCATTGTTTTTTGATTTTTGCTTTTGCGCGGGTCACAAAAGTACTGTATTTTTGTGTAAAAACATAATAATTTTCTTGTTCAATAAAGTGAAAGAGCTCAATTACAATTTAATCATGTCAAAAAGACAGCCTCGAGTATGAATTTTTTTTTACCAATTGAACAATAATTCTTGTAAAGTCAAGTGGAAGCAGTGCCAAATGATACAACAAACAGGAACTACAAGTATAAACTACAATATCAAATACGGACATCCAACCTTAATACTTCAATTAGGTTCTATGATCAAATGCTCGACCACAGACTATTCCTTCCAGTCGCAAATCCAAGTCTATTAATAATACAAATTCCTACTCTTTTATTTAAAGAAGAGGAATATATTTGTCAATGTTTATTGATGAAGATAAGACGATATGTGTAAGACTGATTCTAAAATAATAATTTTAATTAACAATCAAAGGTTTTGGTTTGTGTAATTCCTCATATATACAGTATATTGAAACACACATACAAAGTAATAAGCCGGATAGGCGTGGAATTTCGCCGAATCGTCGCCGACTACGAAACTTACCGAATAGTCGAAATGGATCTATAATGCTTCGTTAAGTAATTATTTAGTACATCTTTTGAAATAAAGGAACTTTAATTTTCTGATTTTTTCCTAAATAACACTAATAACCAAACTTGTTCCCTATTTTAATTCAAAATCGCCTGTGTTATCCAAATTTAATGTACTACACAGAGTGGTCATTTGAATATCGCCGCGATTTATAACATTCTGAACAACTTTCTTCGGTTGGAGCCATATTTTACATGACCGTCATTTAAACGAAACATTATTTCTCCTATTTTTGAACACTCTGTATTGTAAATGAAATTTGGATAACACAGACGATCTTGTAACAAAATAGGGGACAAGTTTGGTTTGAAAATTTTTTTGATTATTCTTTCAGTTTAGCAATGAGCATATTGGGATCTTCTTGGGACGTTTATTGACTCCAAAAAAAAATTTTTGAATATCGCCCCGATTTTTGGCATAGTCCCATATTTTGGTGTTCTGAACAACTTTTTCCTATAACTTTTTTCGATTGGAGCGAGCCATATTTTACATGGCTGCCATTTAAATAAAACCTCTTTTTCTATTTTTGAACACTGTATACTAAATCCAATTTAGATAATAGAGAAGATCATGCATTAAGATAAGGAACAAGTTTTTTTTGAAAATTTTTTCGATTAAACTTATAGTTTAACTGCAATGAGCGTACGCGTATTTTTTTTGAGCCATCCTGTATACGTTACCTCCATATAAAAATCTAGTAATTGCGTTTTTCTCCTTGCCTCAACTTCTTATTGTTATCAGTGACTGTATCGTTTGGCAACTTTTACATTATCTCACACGTTATAATCAAACACTATATTTATAGCACTTTACGTATCTTTTAGATTTCATAAATTGTAAGTAATAATTTTTGTTGTGTAGTTCTAGGTATTTATTTTTTTTTGTATTTATTTCGTAGTCGCCGCAAATTTTGAAATAAATAAAGAGATAAATAATTGA